ACACTCTTGGGGGACACTCTTGTAGGACACTCTTGTGGGACACTCTCGTAGGACACTCTTGTGAGACACTCTTGTAGGACACTCTTGTGGGACACTCTTGTGAGACACTCTTGTGGGACACTCTTGTGGGACACTGTTATAGGACACTCTTGTGGAACACTCTTGTGGGACACTCTTGTAGGACACTCTTGTGGGACACTCTCGTAGGACACTCTTGTGAGACACTCTTGTAGGAAACTCTTGTGGGACACTCTTGTAAGACACTCTTTGTGGGGCACTCTTATAGGACACTCTTGTGGGTCAATCTTGTAGGAAACTCTTGTGGGACACTCTTGTAGGACACTCTTGTGGGACACTCATATAGGCCACTGTTGTGGAAAACTCTTGTGGGACAATCTTGTAGGACACTCTTGTGGGTCACTCTTGCAGGAAACTCTTGCGGGGCACTGTTTCGGGACACTCTTGTAGGACACTCTTGCGGGACACTCTTCTGGGACACTCTTGTGGGACACTCTTGTAGGACACTCTTGTAGGAAACTCTTGGGGGGGACTGTTTTGGGACACTCTTGTAGGACACTCTTGCGGGACACTCTTGTAGGACACTCTTGTGGGACACTCTTGTAGGACACTCTTGCGGGCCACTCTTACGGGGCACTCTTGTGGGACACTCTTGTGGGGCACTCGACTCTCTTGTGGGGCACTCTTGTGGGTCACTCTTGCGCGACACTCTTGTAGGACACTCTTTGTGGGACACTCTCAAAAGCACTCTTGTGGGTCACTCTTACGGGACACTCTTGTCGGACATTCTTGTGGGACAGTCTTGTGACACACTCTTGTAGGACACTCTTGTGGGTCACTCTTACAGGACACTCTTGTGGGACACTCTTGTAGGACACTCTTGTAGGACACTCTTGTGGGACACTCTTGTGGGACACTCTTGTGTGACACTCTTGTAGGAAACTCTTGTGGGACACTCTTGTAGGACACTCTTGTGGGGCACTCTTATAGGACACTCTTGTGGGACACTCTTAAGGGACACTCTTGTGAGACACTCTTGTGGGACACGGTTGCGGGACACTCTTGTGGAACACTCTTGTGGGACACTCTTGTGGGACACTCGTGTCGCGACACGGTCTGCCCACACACTAGAAGCAGTCACGCGAGCGTTTCGTACGAGACTTCCTCCAAAAGTCACGCTTCGAGGCTGCAAGACGAGCGTTTCGTACGAGACTTCCTCCTAAAGTCACGCGTCATGTCTCCAAAACGGAGCGTTTCGTACGAGACTTCCTCCAAAAGTCACACGTCAAGTCTCCAAAACGAGCGTTTCGTACGAGACTTCCTCCAAAAGTCACGTGTCAACTCTCCAAAACGAGCGTTTCGTACGAGACTTCCTCAAAAACTCACGTGTCAAAGTCTCCAAAACGAGCGTTTCGTACGAGACTTCCTCCAAAAGTCAAGCGGAAACACCCATCGGAGCACACACATCACGCAGCCCTGCCAAGCAGTTTCGCGATTCCAGCCCCTCCAAACAACACCCGCTCACACGCCAATCCCAATGAGACAACGACAGTCACCTCTACCACAACTCACAACCTCACGATTCCCTGCGCCTGCCACGCATCTTTCCGCGTCCACACGTCTAACGCGCGCAAAGTACTGCGCCTGCCACGCAATGTCACCTCCGTCACACCTCGCAACCTCACGATTCCCTGCGCCTGCCACGAAAATCACACTACCATGCCTCAAAACCCGCACAAAGTACTGCGCCTGCCGCGAAAAGTGACAATATCATCTCATGTGAGCTTCAACAAAATTTGCACCACACCACACGTTTGGAATGATTTCGATCCGTTCTGAGCACACTCCCATCCACCAAAATCGCCACTTCAGCTGAGACTTGTCACGAAAACAGAGCTTCGATGCCACACCCTGAAACGCAAATCCCAATGGCACGGCCACATCCAACACCCCAAAAACACGACTCTCCAAATGCTAATCCCAATGGAACTGCGTAGCAAACTGAGGATCTCACAAAACGCTGCGCCTGTGCAGCGAAATGCATCACGCTTCTTGCGCGACATGTCA